ATGAAGAGGAAGGTGAATGTGGTCCAACCATATAAAGACGATAGATAAAGATCAAAGAGAACTCCCTTCACAAATCTGATCTTTCGTTGTTTCTTAGGTTTAGTCGCTTTCCCAATTCTTCCACCAACACGATACCAAACATCTTGTAAATGTTATTTATATATATCTTACACATTTAGTTGTGTGTTACTTCTCGTAACTAGGTACTATCTTATCTGCATTCCATTGTTTTCTCCATCTTGTATGCAACAAGCAACAAAAACAGAGATTGTTTTATCGTCTTGGGCTATAAGAAAAAGCCCAAATAATATGGGGGAACTTAAAGCCCATTAGTGGCTTGTCACAAAATCATTAACCTTGGACCATTTTGATGTTTGGTAACGGTGATAGTCTCACTCTCCCCTTCAGCGGGATAATAATTATTATCTAGCCTTGTTTCCAAACAGCATGAGGCCTAAATCGGCTTGGCTTGTGGTTGAGTTACGTGGCACTTTGACGTGAATATTTTTTATTTCATGATAATTAGAGGTGGTCCCACTGATTGTGCCAGGTCAAGGGTGATGTGGCTTTAACAAATGATTATTAGTTTAATTTTCGGTTTGTCAGGTTACCACCGTACCAAAAGATTTTCTAGACTAGTCATTAACGATAACTATCGATTTAAATAATTTCATTAGTCTACATATATCCTTAAGAATATAATACTTTGTATCCATCATTCAAAATCGCGAACAAGTTTTGCAACTAACAAAAAGTTAAATTTGAAAAACCATATTTTGAGATCTTTTGTTAAAACTAACTTATAGATTGAAACTACTCAAAATAGCTATACTTTTTCTAAATGTGAATTGTGATGACAAAATTTTTATAAGGTAAGCAGTAAATTTCAAAAAAATTATATAGAAAGTAATATTCTGGGATATTTCCTACGTATTTTCCTCGTGGAATTTCGATTCAAGACGTCAATTTTTTTGAAGGTTTCTTCTCGACTACAAGTAAGAAACTCTTTGCTCATAAGCTAAAACAAAATCACTTTACCAAAAAAAATAAGCTAAAACAAAATCTCAATCTCTCCACACACAAACAAAACAAAAAAAAGTTAACCAAAACAAAAGGAAGTTGATTGCTTTACTGTAATATATAATAAAAATCAATCACTTGCATCGTCTCCTTTCGTTAACAAAAACAGTTTGTTGTTCTAAATCCGGGAAAAACAAAAAAGATTTGATTTTTCTTCGCCTTGTTCGCTCACTGTTCCTTGGTTCGTCAGATTCCGTGTCGCAGTAGCAGAAACAATGGAGGTTGATTCAAGTAAGGATCCGAAAGTCTAACGGGTCAAAAAACCCAAAAACCCGGATGGACGCGGCACGACTTGTGGGCGACTACGAACTTGGCCCGAAAATCGGGTCTGGTTCGTTCGCGGTGGTGTGGCTTGCGAAGCACCGATCGTCTGGTTTGGAAGTCGCCGTCAAAGAGATTGATAAGAAACTGCTTAGCCCTAAAGTCAGAGACAATCTCCTCAAGGAGATTTCGATCCTCAGCACAATCGATCATCCCAACATCATCCGATTCTACGAAGCTATCGAGGTTCAATTTTGTCTAGCAACTGTGAATTTTCGATATTTCCGCTGAAATCAAAACTGAAATTTGAGATTTTTTTGTTTGTTTTACCGAATTCTGCAGACTGGAGATAGGATATTTCTTGTGTTGGAGTATTGTAGCGGAGGTGATCTTGCTGGGTACATCAATCTCCATGGGAAAGTATCAGAAGCTGTTGCTAAGCATTTTATGAGGCAATTGGGTAAAAAATCAACATTTCTGTTTATAGGTCTTTTCATGTTTTCAACTTTACGATTTTTGTTGATGTTTGAATCTCTGTTTCTGTGTGTTTTTGTAGCTTTGGGGTTGCAAGTACTTCAAGAGAAGCATTACATCCACCGAGATTTAAAGCCTCAGGTGAACTAAAAGCCTCTTATGTTTTAGTTTGATCGCTATGTGATAAAAGTCTAGTGTCATGGTTTTGTTTTTCTTCAGAATTTACTTTTATCGTCAAAGGAAGTAACTCCATTGCTAAAGATAGGAGATTTTGGGTTTGCAAGGTATTAAGTTACATCTCATTTCTCAAGAAAAATGTTTTCTCTTCATGATAAAGCTCTTAAATGTTGGATTTTTGGTAGGTCTCTAACACCGGAGAGCATGGCGGAAACATTTTGCGGTTCTCCATTGTATATGGCTCCAGAAATTATCAGGAACCAAAAGTATGATGCAAAGGTGAAGTAAATTCCATAGAACTGAGAGAAAGATGTTAACTTTTTCTTCTCCTCTGTGTTTAAATTGTCTGATGTGTGTTTCAGGCTGACTTATGGAGTGCCGGTGCGATTTTGTTTCAACTTGTTACTGGGAAGCCACCTTTTGATGGGACTAATCACATCCAGGTTCGTTTTGGCCTGAACAGATGAATTGCTTCTTGAGATTCTAATGAACTTATGCTTTGGTTTCTGATCTCTACAGCTTTTTCACAATATTGTGAGAGACACTGAGCTGAAGTTTCCTGAAGATGCTTTGAATGAGATTCATCCAGACTGTGTTGATCTCTGCAGAAGCCTTCTACGCCGAAACCCAAGTACTTGTTTTAGGATTCTCTCTGTTTGTCTACTTGTCTTTATGATCAACAAGACCACATTTTCATGGAAAGATATGTGTTTTTTACTGCAGTTGAACGCTTGATATTCCGAGAGTTCTTCAATCACAGGTTCCTTCAGGAGCCAAGGTAATGTCTGGAGCTCTTCAATCACTCTGCTACCTTCATCTTCTTTTGTTGAACCATCTTCGTCTCATCATCTTTCATACCAAATGTTGCCAGACAAATGCCGGTTGTTGCACGTTCTGATTCTTCTACCACCTCTACGGGGAAATCATTGTTGCCTTCTGCACAACCGAGTAGTATAAACCGATTCAAGTCGAGTGCAGAGAATGTCTACAAACACGTGAATACGTCTGGTGTCTCAACATCTCACATTTTGATGCCACACGTCGTCTCTTGTGAGAAGACTAAGAAAGACACTGAGGGACAATGCTCATCAAATCAATTTGGAGGTTTGTTATTCGCATTTACTGTTTTGTCTCTATTGCTTTTATAAGCTCAGTTCACTCAGAATCGCTTTTGCTTTTTGGCATTTGTGCAGTTTTTGACTCACTTGAGCTCATAGAGAGAGAGTATGTTCTTGTAAACCGTCCTTCTGCCTCGCTGGAAGGTTCATCAGATTGTTTCGACACATCACTGCAAGATTCCACCAATTTCTTACCAAGGAACTTTAAAGCTTCACTTGAAGCACAGAGACCATTACCTGATGTGTCAGGTCCACCACCAGCAAGCGGATCATATCTGTTAACAGAAGTACAACGCTCAACCATTGTTCATCCTCCGACCAAGCTTCAACTTTTGCATCAGTATGCAGAAGCACTTTCAGAAGTAGCTCGTGAGATGGTAACTTACAACTCCTAATGACTCTCAAGTCTCAAATGATAACATTAGAGAGCTTCTAATACCGTTTGCATACAGGGCAATGCAGGACAAGTAAAGGAATCTTTTGCTGTTACGCTCGTCGTTTTAGCTGTCTGGAGAAAAGCTTTAGAGATAAGCGATTCTTGGATGATGTCCGTTGGAGAGGAAGGAGCCAACACAGATCCAACAACAGCTCCCGAGACTTCAATTCCAGATTTGAATTCACCAGCACTCGCTAAAACTTGGGTGACACAAGCGTTTGTCACCGCGTTTAACCATGCCGAGAATTCATCAACGCAACTAAACGAAACAAGCGGTTAGTACTACTTAACAAACCAAAGCATTCTCTTTTTGTGTTTCTTTGCACATTCTCTGAATGCATCCTCCTTGGCTTCATTGCAGCTAGTACTACTCATATGCCTGACGCAATGGAAACAATATACGAGAAGGCACTAGCATACGGCAAGAGTGGTGGGGTAAGTCCAAAAAGTTTCCATCTTTTCACTTTTTGTACCATTTCGTAAAGTCTGAAACTTTTTGTCAAAAGCTTCCACCTTTGGTTCACCCTTTGGTCCTAAAAGTCTGAAACTTTATTGCAGGCGGAGGAATATTTGAATAACAAGGAAAGTGCAGCAAGATTATACAAGAAAGCGATTCTTCTACTCTCCTTCATAATTGAGGAAGCAGTGACTCTATCTCTAAACCCTCCTTTCTCATTAACCCTTGACGACAAGAAGCGGATTCTCTATTACATCTCTAACTTGCAGCATCGTCGGTCTCATCTTTAGCCACAAATCGGCCGCAACACATTGTACATAAGGAAAGAAACTTTGCTGGCTCAAATTTATAAAACATTTGGGCTTTTATCTTCGGTTGTTCTTGTTTCTTGAAATCTCGAAATCGGCCGCAACACATTGTACTCTATATTGATGATGCTGTGACCAAGAAGTATGTGCCTCCCCATTGTATAGTGCAATATCAAAAAGCTTTATTAAAAAAAAATGCAAGCTTGTTGGCGCCAAGAGTGCCATTCTGTTTCTACTTTCAGTTTTTTGACTAATGGGCTTCACCACTGGGCCCATTAGTAGTACATGCCCAACTATACAACACTTGTTTTTGACTTATGTCTTGAACATCGATTTGAACACACACAAAAAGATAACAAAATTTATCATTGTCAATGAGCAAAACGTCAACACTTAGAATAAAGACAGAAGTCAAACCATAATTGAATACGAATAAGGTCAAACTTAAATTAGATGGGACCAAAATCCACAAAACACCCAAAGCCTACAAACATGATCGAATAATCCAATAATATACGAACAAAACAGAATTTAATTCAGTCAGTCGGAAAACGAAAGGACGGGAAGAAAAAAATCCCCGATATCTTAAAAATTATTATTTTTTGGCTCTCTTCTTCAATGATATTTTAAAATAAAGAAAAAACATCTGTCAGCTTTTTTATTTTCTTTTCGAGTTTATTTATGTTAAATCAAATCGGTCGGATATCGAAAATCTGATGCGCCGCCTTGGTGATATCGTCGGCCGATTCTAGTTCACAGTCGTCCTCCATCTGTTCCATCAAAGTCAGAATTGAATTTTTACTCATGAAAGGTTTCATTTTTCGATGTGGGTTTCCGTAAAGTAGTTACCTTGAGGTTGAAGGAATAAGAGACTGATGAATGAGACGAAGATGCGATATTGAGATGAAGAACAGTGAGTCGAAGCTTTTCGAGTGAAATGATTCCTTTGAGAAGCTGTCCTTGTTTCTTCGGACACTGAACCTTAAGGTTGACGTGGTTCTGTATCACCGTCGCTTCGATTTTGGGGACGCAAGTTTGATCTTCGTGAGTCGTCCACAAGTCGCTCGACGAAATGCCTGAGAGATGATGATGATGATTATCAGTTGCTTGATCGTTTCCCAACTCGAAACTTTGTTCCGTTCTCTTTTGGGATTCAAGAGATTGTATGATTTGCTCGAGGACCTTCACGTAGTTTATCGCTCCTCCTACAATTGATGCTTGGTCTCCCTGTAGTAGGGAAAAAACTAATCAGATTGAGAGAGATTCTGTTGGATTTTGAGGATAAAGGTTGAAACTTTTGTTGATATTACTCGTTGGATGTAGGAAGGTGGGAGAAGAGAGCGGAGAGAGTTGATATGTTCGTTCATTTGACGCCGTCGATTTCGTTCAACAGCAATGTGGTTTATTCGTTGATTCTCTATCTCTTGAGTGTTTTTAGTTGGTTTAGTCTTCCTCCTCTTTCTCTTCTCTTGAGTCATTTCTGGAGGAAGCAGCAAGTGGCTGGTTTTGCGTTTGCGTCTCGAGTTTGGAGTGCGTTGTGATGAGGAAGAAGAAGGGACTGTCATGTTTGCTTGGCTTGACAAAGCTTGATTGGCTCCTCCTTCAATGGATGATGCTGAAATTGGGTTGTGATAGAGGAAGCGGTTAGTCTCGGATTGGACCGGGGAATGAAGCAGCGGATCCTCGTGTGAAAGAAGATAGCTTTCGAGTTCCCAAGGCTCCTTGAGTGTCTGAAGAGAAAGTAGCTTTAGAAAGTTTGGTTCTTTGATTGACAAAAACGTGGATGGGTCTTCTTCTTCTTCTTCACTCTGCAACATCTTTAGAAATGGAACTGTATCTTGCAAGCTTTCTTCCTCTTCTTTAAAGACAAAGCTTTGATGAGCCTCTGCGAATCCTTGAACTTCTAGGCTTCTTGCATCCGCTTTTCGATCCAAAAACTGCAAGAAAGAACAGAGGAATGATTGAAGAAGAGGTGTAATTTGAATCTACTGTGGGATTTGGTGGGTTTTAGTACAGAGATGAACAAAAGTAGAAGGGAAAATGGAATGTTTTCAAAGTAGAGGGAAACAGATTGATTGCAGAATGGTTATTGTTTTCTGTAAAACAAACAAGAAAGGCATTGAATGCAAAGCATCTGGACTCATTAGAAATAAGAGTAAATGCATGTCCGTTTCTCTGAGCATAGAAATAAAATGATTCAAGAGAAGAGATGAGAATGGAGGAAGAAAGTGAAAGCTTTTCTAAATTAAGCAAAAGGATACATACACAGGGGTTGATGTGTCCGTGAAACCTCTCCATTTGAGAGCTCTTTGTTTGTTATGTAGTTATTATGCAATGATGTGTGAATAATAAATGCAAAGAAGCAACAAAGAGGCAGAAGAGGAAACTCATGTACTCTCTTCTGATTCTGAGGCTTCCTGGACTTGTAACTGTTAGCCTTATATAGAACAGTGAGTCTTTAGCAGCTATTGGGTAGAGTGGAAACAGAGGAGCTGTAAAAATACAGAGAGGTAAGAAAAATATATGTATTTGGGTACTGCAAGAGTTGGTGAGGCTGAGCAGAGCAGAGAGAGGAGAGGAGAGAGAGAGAGGATTATTGGTGGAGGCAGTTTTGTTTTGAAGTGGAGACAGAGACTTTGTGGGGACATTCTAAATTACGCAGAAGAAGAAGGTAAAAAAGGGACGTGTCATGGGTAAGAGAGCTTCTATTGGGTTTGTGTCATCTTTCTCATGATGTCTCAATCATCCTTTCTTCACTATTACCCATACCATAATATCATCATCATACATTTACACACCACTCCATTCCTTTTCTTCAAGGCTCAAAAAGCTAAAACTTTATACAGAAACTATGCTGCCTCCATCACGTTCTACTAATTCAAACTAATTAACAAGGTTGAACATGATTAAGATGGCTAAAGTGTAGGTTTTATCTTTTACTTTGCAACCAATACAAATCTATAATAATAACTTTTAATAACACTAAGAAATCTTATCTAATGTGGTGCCTTGGCTTCTACGGCATTAAACAGTGTTTGCCCTATAAACTGTCCCAACTTGTCTACAAAGTCTCACCTCTAATGGCTAAAACCATATCCGATTTCACAACTTACGTAACAAAGAAACAAAGAATTAGCCTTTGCATTGTTAACGAAGACCTTAGAAACCTTATCAACAAGTTAAAAACTCCAAAGAAAGTTTGAATCATTTTTTAAATTATATGCTGTGTACTATGATATGGTTGCTAGCTACTGTCACACACGAGCTATGGTTACTTGCTCTCAGGACAAACATGTCCCACTCTTTTTGGTAGGTCTATCGTTGTGATAAACCCTAAAGATTCACTTTACCAAAAAAAAAAAAACCCTAAAGATTCAGATTCTTCTATAGTTACTAACATAACACAAAAGACCTAATAATCTCACATAAAGTTATGTCCTTTTAATTACCTTTTTCAAGACAGGACAAAAAGTAAAGCTTCTTGATAAACAAAAACAAAACAATGGCATGTCACAGCAGTGTCATGGATAGCACACGAGAAAGCGAAAAAAGATTGAAATATGATCATGAAAATGACAGAAAACCACAGAAATTGACTGTCTCGAGCTTGCTTTGTCTTTTAACGCTCGATTTGTATGGTAACGTGACTGATACGATACTCTCTCCAAATGTAATCAATCACTTTGTTAAGAACCAAACCATCATCAGCTTCTGGTTTAATCTTGACATGACAAGAAAACAGAGCTTTTCCAACTGTAATTGCCCAAATGTGAAGCTCGTGAACAGCCACAACTTCTTCAATCTCCATCAATCCCCTTTCCAGCTTCCTCGCGTCGATCTCTCTCGGTGTGCTCTCCATTAGAACTTCAAGTATGCTTCGAAGCATCTTAATGGTTGTCCCTAAAACAATAACCGAAAAGACTAACGTGCAGATCAAGTCAATTACTTTCCATTTAGGGTTATACCAAATCATACCACCTCCAATCATTACACCAATGCTCTGGATTAAATCCCCAAGAACATGAAGATAAGCCCCTTGGACATTAATGTTCCTCTTTTCCTTTGCTTTCTGCAACAATTGCTCTTCATGATCTCCATGATTATGAGCATGAACATGATCATGATCATGACCATGACAATGACCATGATCATGTCCAAGAACAACAATCATTATGATGTTTACAAGTAAACCGAAAGCAGCAACGAGAACCATATAGAAGCCATCAACATCATCATTAGTCTCTTGAATGAGTCTAGTGACGGCTTCATAGACCAAAATCCCAGTGAGTAACCAAATGAGCTGGATTGAGACAAGAGCACCCAAAATCTCAATTCTGAAGAACCCGTAACTCTGTCTCGGATTCGCTTCCCAGGAAGAAGCCCACAAGGAGAGCATAGAGATAGCAAAAGCAGCAACGTCAGTGAGCAAATGAGCCGCATCAGTTAGTATAGCCAAACTATTAGCCTTAATGCCACCGACAACTTCAATGCTCATGAACAGAAGACACAACACCGCAACGAAACAGAGCTTTCGCATAAAAGCAGAACGTTCCTTAGCATCAGTTGAAGAAGTTGCAAACCCACAAGCTGTTTCTCCGCAGACTTTACTTCTTCTTGACTCCATCTGCAAAACCAAAACGTTAACTTTAGAGATTGTCAATGGACTAATACTAATACACGGTTCTATAAATAAATTTGTTACCTTACAACAAGATAGTAGAAACTCAATGCAAGAGTGAGGTTTGGAGTTGAGGCATAAAGGAGATTTTTAAAGGTTGGGAAAAACAGAGAAGTAAGAGCGACATGCATACCACAACTAGACAAGAAGTCGAGCAAAACTACATTACACATTACAACATACAAAGCAAAGAGAGTTTATATTTTTAATATTATTTAATGCCCATGAAGTTAACGATAATGACAACATATGGATACCATAAAAGAGAGGCAAAACCTTAATCATATAGTATAAGATGCGTAGAAGCATTAGAAAATAAGTATTTAAGTTAAGACCCAATGTATAAATGACGAAATCAAAGCGACATCAGATTCCGAATTAGACCAATTCTTGATATCATACAAAGAGTGGAAATTAAGAATCTAGAACAAAATTTGGAAGTCAACTTGAGGGGAGAAAGAGAGAGAAACCCAGCTTAAAGCCTTAAACTGGTAGCAAAATTTAAGTTGTCTTAGTTCGAAGTTATGCATAGCTAGTCATATTCAATTATAAGATTAGTTAAGTCATTATTATCTGAAATAAGCCCATTTAAAAGTTAGATAATGGGCTGAATATAAATGTTGGGTCGAGATATACAGAATCAACTTGGTCTCCCTTATTTCTACGACGAAAATGATTCGCTAACGATCTTTGACTTTGACCAAAACTGAGTATACTAATTTTAACTTAAAGCCCTTAAATTTCAAAAACAATAAAACCGTTTACGTACGTGTTATCAGTTTTACGTAAAATCAACTCCGATCATATAAAAACTAGGTAACAAAAAAATACAAAAAAAAGAGAATAATATCTTCCAGATTAACATTGTTTACATATATAAACATAATTTTTTTTCTATTCTGAAATGATTCAACCCATGGTCTGTTAAAATAAAAAGTGATGAAATAGTTTTACATTTCTGTCCGTTTACAAACAAAAAGCATTATTAATATCTTTAAATGCATTAATGATCTGATATCGAAGTGTACCTATCTAACTTTTAAACGCTATTCTAGATACACATATTTTGATGTATTAATCCTCTGTGATGGACTGATGGTCTTTAACAAAAATCCTCTGTGATGGAACCCAATCTTCTCGACACCAAGTAATTTCCGCACCGTTGAGACGAAGCATCGTCACCGGAGCCAAGAACGCTCGCCGATAAGCGACCTTCCATACATTCTCTTAGAATCAAGAAACCGATCTTATTACCACCGTCCGATTGATCCCTGCGACGAGCCAAATACAAAAGCTCCTCCAATTTATCTCTTCTCATCCTCACTTTAATCCTTACACGACCTTTCTTCTCTCCGGCCAGCGCTTCCTCCACGTGGCCTCCTCTTCCTCCGTCTCCGGAAGCCGGGTGCACAGCGCAGCTTCTTCTAAGAAAATTCCCCATTGCTTTGATCTTTCTCGTTTTCCAAATGGTTGCATCAATTGAAACGTGTATGGCTTGTTTATATATAGGAGATGGACCAGATGGTTATGGATTACAATTTCTTTATTTATTCGGTTAAACCGGTTCAAGTTTTTTCAGGTTGAAAATTTTGTTCTGTTTTTATTGAAGACCGAAATAGAACGAAAACAATATTGGTTTGGCTTAGCTGAATTAAAAATAAAACGTTCGTTCGATTTGGATAATATAAGAATACAAATCAATAATGATTTTATTGTATTGCTTCATTAAATACAAATATTATTGAAATCTAACTTTACTACAAAAAGTTCAATTTATTCGACTTGGATTATTCGGTTATAAGGTTGGTTAGATTTGTTTGGCATAGCATTCGGTTTAAAATAAAATTCGACTCAGTTTTGGTTGGGGTTGAGTAAGGAAGTGAACTACGATGCATGGGGCATGCGAGGCTATTAGACGAAATAAAAGATGGCTATTGAAAATTCTTGAGACGAAATTTAAGTGTTGTTCTGGTTCACGTATCTGCTGACGTGGTTATTAAGTAAATTAACCAATGACCATAACGCAGGGTGTGTTTCACGCGTCAACTATCTTAAAGTACGGTCTTTTTCTCCGGGATTTGTCACCTCGCCTGCGATGATTAAAAAATAATCACCTATCTCTCGTTTTATTACAATTTTATTTATTTTTTAAATATTACATACATACATGTAACTTCCCGTTTTTTCTGCTTGGGTTTGATTTAATTAAAACTTTGCATAGCTCGTTTAAAGAAGGTTATCTCATAATCTGTATGTATTAAGGACCATAATTTCGTAATGTAGTTTTGGTTTGGCCCATTATGTTATACCTCTTGGTTAGACCGTTTTTTTTTTTTTTTTTTTTTTTTTTTTTAATTTTAAGACAGTATTTCATGTTAGTCGAAACGCGCATTTCTAGTTTTATACTACCAATCCTAAAATATCCGCACCACTTCAAATTAAATACCAATATAAATTCAGTTGAAAATATTTTAACAAAAATGATAAATAAAACCTCGATTTGTTTTTACTCCCTACTCTTATTATTTTTTTTTATTTTTTTTGGGATTTGAGTTATAGCATATACTTTGCAAAGCAGGTAATCGAGTGGCTCTTGCTCTCACACATCTTCCACTCTGCCGATTCAAAATTCTCCAAGTGAAGTAAAATGCTAGAAACACAAAAATTGTAATATTTGGCCATTACCCGTTAGGACCCATAAAATTAATAATGACCCGCCAAGAAATTGTTGGTACGTAATTGAGTGCACCGAAAGAAGGTGGCACTATATTATTCTTTTGTCTTTCCAATTTCCACGACTTGTAAAATAAGAAGACAAAAATGTTATATTGTTGTAGGACATGGATGATGGATCCACGTGATATATTAACATAACTAGATAGAGCAAAAACAAGATGCAAAAGATATACTCTATGGTCCAATTTTTTGTTTTTCTTTTTGGTCAGGAAAAGCGAAGTTTAGCCCCAAAGTTAACAAGTAAACGTTCCATTTACAATTTTAAGGTATTCCGGTCGTGTGCTTATTTGTCTAAGAATTTGGCTTCAGCTGATAGTGTATTTGTAAAATCAAATTTACAATATCTTTAATTTCATAAAGATTGATCAAACTCTCTTATTCTTCTTTTCGTCTATGTGGACATAAATCAAACTCTATTCCGGAAAGTATGTCGGCCTTTCTTTTACCTTTTACCTTTTAACATTATTAACCCTATCACTACACCCATTGATCTATTACTTTTCTATAGGGAATATTGGTGTACAATTAGTAAATTTATTTAGATAGTTTTTTTCTTCATTTTTAAAAAATATTGCCAAGAATTATATAATTTGACTGTATTACTAATTATTTGAAATAAGACCAAATTTTTTTTTCATATGATAATACTAAAATCGCAAGCACAGGATCTTCGTTCCTTTTCTACCAAGAAAAGTGGTGGACCATCCACAATTATTTTCTTTGACGTCGTAAAGTTTTATACCTCATCAGCTCCTCAAAGAAGAGTTAGAAAACCTTAATCTCAATCCCTTCTCCGTCTTGGGTTTTCTTCAGATTCCATACATTATATATTCACACAATAACTTATTATTTATTCTAGTTTGAGTGAAAAAAATGGGTAACTGCGTATGCAAAGGCATTAGTGGTTCAAGAAAACTGTACGATAAAGATGATTGGTTAGTAAAAGTTGTGACTCCAAACGGCGGCGTAATGGAGCTTCATCCTCCAATCTTCGCCGACTTTATCACCAACGAATTCCCCGGCCACGTCATCCACGACACCTTAAGCCTCCATCACTCATCTCCGCCGCTTCTCCACGACGAAGAGCTCTTTCCCGGTAACATCTATTATCTCCTCCCTCTTTCTTCCGCCGAGGCCTCAGCCGCTCAACAGCATTCCTCCGACCACCTAGCAACTCCGTACAGGATGTCTTTCGGGAAAACGCCGGTAAAGGCGGTTACGAATGGCGGCGGAGGCGGTGTGTGGAAGGTGAGGCTTGTGATAAGTCCGGAGCAGTTAGCGGAGATTCTTGCGGAGGATGTGGAAACGGAAGCGTTTGTAGATAGTGTGAGGACGGTGGCCAAGTGCGGCAGCGGTTGCGGTGGCGGCGCTAATTCGAGAGCGTATTCGGACCAGTTAAGTCACTCAAGTGTTGCGACTAGTTTCAAAGGGCAATTAAGGTGAAATTTCGAATATGTATAAAGGAAGTTTATGTAATTTTGGTATGTTAATTATTGTTTCACAAGCATTTAAATGATGTTAATTTTCGTATTTTTTGGAGTGTGATTATAAGTTTATCAACTTAGAAGCTGGAAAAAAGGTTTATTCGACATCTCACACGAAACAATTAAGTTATGATGAAATCTATAGAGAACAAAATCATCCGAAATTTAAATGCGGTTTTAGCTTGATTTAAATTTAAGTTTCTTGTCATTTATATATTCAGTTTCAAAATTGAATTTTGTTTGTCTTTCCGGTTCAGTTCACAGTCAATTTTTCTGTATCAAATTGGTTCGGTTATTATGGTTATTGTACACGTTAAATTGGTAACACAAAAGATAGTATATTACATGTATTTTCATGTAGGTCCAAAGTCCAAACACTCAATTGCTCTTTATCGATGAATTAAAAACAGAATTTGAAATGCGTTTGCTGAATTGTGAAATGCGACCGTCTCTAAAACGCGATTTGAATGGTTACTTTCCACTGTCATTGCTGCAAAACGCGCTTCATTGGTAATCGCCAGATTAGACGCGGTAGCTGCGGTTCTCTCTATTGTTTCGTCGGAGCATGAGCACCATGGATGGAGGAATCAGAGAGCACGAAACCCATCGCTCTCTTACCAAAGGCGATCTCTCTCTCTCTCTCTCTCTCTCTCTCTCTCTCTCTCTCTCAATTCGGATTTTGGGTTCTCTCAGGAAGCGAATCCAAGAGCTTTTTGTTTTTGCAGGCCATTGCCGCAGCTTTCGCTCGTGATCAGCAACGGTAGTTTGTTGTTTTGATGTCACATTGGGCTCATGAGGCTGGATTTTTGTTTTCTTCTCTAAGAGTTGTCGAATTGCAGAAACTTGGGTAAAGAGGTCTTTTTGTTGCAGAATCTGAGCTCTCACTTGATCATAGCGGACGTTTCCTTTTACCCTGTTACTTCTCCTCCTGGTCAATGCTGTGATGTTCATTTCTTCTTCTTCTAATTCGGGTTTTCTTAAAGCCTTTTAAGCATTCATCTTCCTTTCTTTGTTGATTTTCCTCTTTTGAGGGTTTCTTTCATTCAGACTCAAAAAGGACACTTTTTTGGATGAACAACAACAAAGGATAAAAAGGGAACACAGACAAGAGTGTCATTCTGCATTCGGAAGCATTTTTGGAGATGGCGCTTGTATGGAGGTGGTGGTCTCGTTGTCATAAATTTCTTTGCATTGGTATAATGTCTGATTTATCTCTATCAATGACAACAGATTTAGATTCGCATCATGAGTGTGATAGGAAATATTAACATTGGTTCTTCTGATTGTACATTTAGGAAGGATGGAGCCTTGCAAAACTCTTTGAGATCCACTGTTCACGGTGACTGCTCCCTATAGGTAACTTCTTATCTTGGATGCATGAGTGTGATATTGAAGATGACCACTTTCACTTCTTCCTTTTTACAGTCCACCATCAGGCTTTGAAAGACAGTTCAGGAAGGAACTTCCGGACTTGTACAAGTACTTGAAAGAAGCCATCGGCAAGGTATTTCATATGATTGTGACACAAACATGAAGCATGTCACTGGTGTTATTTTCTCCTAGATTATTCTAATTTTATATGTTTTTGCAGGTTAGCTGGAGTGATGTAACACATTGGATGTGGCCTCTATTTACAGAAGAATGGGGATCATGGCGATACGAGGAAGGAACTCAACCTAAGTTATTACCCTTTTGTTTTTCAAATATAGAAGCATCACTTTTATTGCAAGAAATGATACTTTCAACTGTCATCTGACGTACTCATTTGGTGCAGGATCCAGTAACAGACCTACCAATTTGGCATATCCGGCCACCACCTCCCCTGGTCCTTTGAGCTGTTTATATCCTCTTGGTATTTTGCAATCTATCTTCCCACTAAGATCGTATCTTCATATACTAACTTTTTTCTTCTAACTCGACCCATTTAGTGTACTTTTCTCATTTTGTAAGTCCAACACTGACTGATCATTGATTAAACTTAGGCACTTTTAAATTTTTAGTAATTTAGTTGCTATATTATACCGATATCAATTTAAAAACCACAGGACATTGCATTGGTAGCTGACCTGTTACATATTTCTCTGCGACAGGTATGGTTTCAGCAAAGAAATTGTCGAATGTCCTGGTATGGGGGATGTTTGCTCAAGATCACTGTTTGGAATGGTAACTCTCTCTCTCTCTCTCTCTCTCTCTGTTTTCTATTCAACAAACACCACAACTCTCTATTGGATGATATACACAGTTTGTGCTCCTAACTGCAGAGGAAGTCCTATTGGAGAAGGTGGAACTGATCCTTGAAGCGTTCGAGTATTTGCAACTGCCAATCGCTCTCAAGCAAGGTTTTATAATGGGCATGTTGGGAAATTGAGCATTAAAATTCCATGGGAGAAGCTTGGTAGGGATCCCATCATCATTACGCTTGAAGATGTCTTTATATGTGTGCATCACAACGAAATGACCAAGAGGTGATTTGCCTGTCTAATAACACCTTTTTCTGTACATGACAATTGACAAGCCTTTATACTCCCAACTCTCAAATGTTTCCTTTCCATGGCCATTGCAGTGGAGCTCAGATGTGGTTGAGAAGCGAGAGTTTGCTGGTGAGAAGGCTAAGCTTGCTGCTGCACAACTGGCTAAATTGTCCAGGCGTGTGTCTTTGGTGAGCAAATTAGTGAAGTCTTGGTTTCTGTTACATTGTACTAATTAGTCAATCTTTAAAGAGTGCTCCAATAAAACATTTGGTCATCCCCTTCAAACATTTGGGAATCCATATATGTCATATATTGCAGCCAAAGGGTGACATTATGTTCTGCAATGCTACCTTTAGTTTAAGCATCTTACATTTGTTTACATTATTTTTGGTCGGATGCTGTATTTTGATTTTTGAGCAAGTTTAAATCTTCCTGCTTGTTGATGAAAGGTTATCAAGCATGTCTTGGCTTCTTTCAACTACGGTAAAACTTCTTGAATACAAATTGTGAGGTCACACGATTAAAACCAAAACTTGTTGAATACATGTAGTTGCAAGCGAAATATAAACATGCCTTTCCATCCGGACTTAACATTGTTTACACGTGACAATACCATTTGAGAAACACATCGGATGATAAGATAAGTTGTCTGATCTCAACATCATTACTTGTACGCGTAACAATGACAAATGGTGTCATAATTTCATTCTGGAAGCTGTAATTGGCCCATTACTCCCGCTCCAGGAACTTCATCGAGAGCTGGCGATCGCAAAAATTGCAATAGATAGACTTTCTCAACAATCTTTGTGAAGTTACAGAGAGCTTTAACAAGGTGTATTAGAGAGCTTCACTGTCTAGTGTTTGTGCAAAAATTTGATCCATTTCACCGACCTGCTCCAACAAGTTCAAATTTGAGACTATACTGCTCATCTGTGCTTGTCTCACATTCCTAGAACCTTTTCCGCCAAAACTCATGCTGTCATATAAACCCCTCACATTTCCCAGGACCCTTCTTTTTCAGAACAGAAAGGAAAGGAAACTACTTAAACAGCAATACCTAAAACTTAATCTAGTAGAAACCCAACCTTGATCAGCTGGGGAGTGAAGTGAAGTGAACTTCGCTAGTCAAGTTACAAAAGCATCTCTATGAATTTCTCTTGCTATGCTTCATCAGATCACATCACTTGTTTCCTTTAATACACCATCCGTTTGGCGCAACTAATTGTTCAATATGGCTACTAAGCATTTCATGGCTTCAACAACATGTCAACAAGGATTTGTGAATGCAAACAAATCTAGTCAAGAAACAGAAGAAACAATCAACAAAGGTTGAGGAACATTCTCCATGAGTCTAAGAACAATCATGTGGAAAAAAACTACAATTTATGCTTTTAGTTTAGCTCCCAAATCTTTCAACGAGACTTAACAAAACATAGCAAGAAAGCTAGAAGGACAAACACAAATCTCATTTTTCAGGCTTTTGGTGCTGGGGGCGTGGCAACAATTACACTGAATGGCACCGTATGTTTTGCCTCTACAGCATTCTTGAAGTCCAAGCTGCAAGAGTCTGATAATGCCAGGTAAACTTCTCCTCCACCAAGGCCTAGAATGTCGATGCAGCGAACAAAATCCCTATCCCCTCCAATAATCAATAATTTGTGGTCGGGATACTTCCTTGCATGGCTGAGAATAAGGTGCTCTAAATAGGCATCAGCAACATCTGTGAGGCTCTCGTACATAGCTTAGAAATGAAAGAAAAATCAATTAGCAAAAAAACTAATTAGAAAATTCAAATAAATTAGAAAATTCAAAGATGTCGAAGATACAATTAGTTTTAGAAATTTTACCTGTCTTTCGGTTATTGTCATATGCTTGACAAAAGACCCGGTCACAGTGTTTGCACTGGAGTGTTCTAGCAAAGGTGTCATGAACATACACTCCCTCCCAAGTAGTAGATCTTCTCTGACCAGCGAAGAATTTCCTCATGTTCCCAACTCCAACTAGTTTTCCGTTGTGAATCTTAGAACTAGGAGCTGCCTTTTTGAGAAAAGCTTGAACACGACGCTGCAAAGTGTCAACATCAAATCCAGGATTTGTTACCCTCAATTCGCGTGTGATCTGGTCAACATCCATCAGAACGCAAAAGGTGGTTCTCGCTTTCACCATGCGCCGCTCCTTCTTCTTGTTCAGTGCTTCTTGTTGTTTCACGGTGAGATTGAGCTTTCCACGGCTGATGCTGAGGACTGCTGGTTGAGTTTCTGGCGATTTTGATCTTCGGTTGTATCTTATTCTTCCGCTTCCTCCAGTTGAACTCATGATGATTTTTCACTCTCTTTTTTCTTTTTTCTTTTTTTGATTAGGCGGCGATGATAGAAATTAGGGTTTCAGAGCAGAGAGATTTAGGTTACATAACAGGGGTATTTTGGTCATTTATAATCACTATATGGGCTTGGGGATTTGGTATCCTAGTTTGTCATTGTTTGTTTGACAAGTGTTTCACAAGTCAGTTTTCCCTATTGCGAGAGACGAGTAGAGCGAAATAAATGTATTTTTCTCAAAAAGGGGCCCATTAGGTACAATGTGTGTGAATGGGCTTCGGATTTCGTCGTCTTGTGACAGAAGAGCGTGGCCATCACACACCAATTATTCAAACCTAGTCCACCATAGTGAATAGTCAATACCTTCCATTGCTTCCCAAAGGTCCTCACTCTTCTTTTCTCTCTGTGATTAAAAGGTCTAACATGTATAATTATCCCGGTTTAAACTGGATTTAATGCCACTTCGACGTCAGCAGACCAGACAAATTGATAAGTAAAATATGTTATTCCCTTCTTTTTTCTTTTATTACAATTCTTATTATCAGGGGATATTTTGTTCATATTGTTACATAAATGAGCTAGAATTTGGTAGCCAGTGTTTACTTCATAAGCTTAGCAAACTCATACAATTAGTCCATGACATGCTCATTTTAATGGTTGTATAAAGGAAAAAGGGAGGCGGCAATTGCAAAAGAAAAACAAATTGAAAGAATAAAACGAGAATACGCTAAGGTATATGATTCGCGTGTCTATTTTAAGGCTTTCTTAATTTTGTCGTCATCTGTTTTGTTCTTTCGATACGTGTGCGCTCCCCATTTTCCACTCCTTTTACTTTTTTTTTTTCTAGTTTTTTTGGCACAAAAGACATACTTTCTGTTGATGTTCAAAAAAAAAAGACATACTTTCTGTTAAACCGAATCAGTAGTGTGAGTGTGATACACATTACAGAATCGTTTATCCTCTTGTATATGAGTACTTATCCAAATTGATTCTAAAATAAAAGTACAATCATTAATATGATTTTCTTCCACTATCATTTACAACGGAGAAAATCGTAACTCATAATTAATCAAGCCTTGAAAGAAACATAAAATCTTCAACACAAGTATTTCTACACATATTTCTAACGGATGTATTATAGATACATTAATATTCCTTCTCCCCCGTTTAGTAGTGATCCACTGAAGTATCCTAAGTGTTCAATGGACATAGAGAAGAAAAGGAAAAAAACCTACAACGATGGACATTGACTAATCTGCTGAAATGTTAATGGGCAAAATTTACCCCAATTGAACGTTTGCAAGCATTTGTCATGGTCCTCGTAGACATGGACAGGCTGATGTGTTTTTAAACGAGCTTTAACCAAAACTATTCCCCACTCTTTGCTTTTTAATATATATTTCGGATAAATTTTCAAAAGTGGAAAAGACGACAAATTGTATTTTGTTGCTGTCCGCGCTTAATTTGTCGTTTTTTGTAGCAAACCATCAAACAATAAACTTTGGGTCACCAATTTTGAAATATAAAGATCTTTAACAGAAGGGGACGTAGCTCAAATGGTAGATCGAGCGAGAGGCACGGGGTTCATCCCCCGCATCTCCATAGATTATATTACTTTTGGAAATCCCAATTTCCCATTCAATTCTACAAGTCTTCGTTACCAACTTACTATCAACAGCAACGGGAAAAAAAAATGTCAAATCTTTTGAAGAACAACCCGCATGTAACATGCCAATTCAGCCATATTTCTTAAATCCGTTTAGTTTTTCTTTTTTCCAGCTTATAAAAGAAGACTTTTTTACCAAAACTCAAAAGCCAAGAGGACCAAGACTGCTAAGTGCTAACGTTATTTTCGTTTTCCCATGACTTCAACATTGCTTCCTAAAGTAAGCTATTTCTGACAGATACAATAGAATTTACATTTAAGGCTACATATGAACCATTGGGGATGTTGCTCAAATGGTAGAGCCCTCGCTTTGCATGCCAGAGGCACGGGGTTCGATTCCTCGCATGTCCAAAATGTTGATTTCTTTTATATTATCTTGTATTGCAACAATAATATTGGGTGTCGTATTTGTAATATTATGTTAGAAGTTGGACAGAGAGACATGTAACTTTTCTTAATCTTACTCCTAAACTTATTTAACTACTATTTTCCATTATCGGAGTCAAATGCGTTAATTTAAAGAAGATCTAAAAGTTGTACGTAAACCAGAAGAAGAGAATATAAACACAGACACGTAATTACGTAAACTGAAATATATTTAAGAAGTATTGGCCATGGAGTCGATGAGCAACTCACAGCCCTCAGGGACGTGAGACTGAAGACGAACGCACTCAGCCAAAGAGAAACTGAGCCACAAAGAGAAGCAAGTGAAAATCAGAGATCCTCTTCACGAAGGAGGCTCCATGCACGGTCCATATGTGTTTTCAAAGCCCTCATTGTTGTTTGATTGTTCCAGTTCTCTATCGGGAAGGTACAAAGACAGCGATCCCTGCCAATTTCCATAAAAATTATACGAGAGGAATGAGAAGCAAACCACGCATCAACATAGGAAGTCATGAATGTCCTGAATCTACAACATTTTAAAGCACTTGTTCTTCCTAGAGGTAAACACAAGGGATCGCAGAGATAGTAACATGCTATAACTTTATCATCCTATCACTACTCGCCAGAGTAGATGCTGCAAAAGGCTTAAGGGGACAGAAACGAACCTGATGATCCAAAATTTTGACGAGAACGATGAAGAAATCACTCATCTGAAACGCCTCGAAGTGAACATCTGCATCACCGTCCTCATTGATCTCAAGCTTCACAACTGTCGTGACCTACTCCTTCAAATATTAATTTAATGTATAAGAACCACAAAGTAACACGCTAATCAAAGATCATATTTTGTTAGAAGACAAACAAGCTTCCCAAAACATTCGATTTTTTTTTTCATCTTCCTAGTCAACTTCTCATCATTTCCCGTCGAAGACGAATCCACGGTCAGATTTTCACTTTCTTTCCTCCGATAACTATTCACCTCTCCGTCTCCAACTCCACATAACCCGTTCCCCCAATCGTTTTCTGACTCGTTGACTCAGCATCGTTTCCATAAACTTCGTAACCTTTATCATCATTGGCATTGCCGTGTTGCCTACGTTCTTCATGGGTCTCGGAATCTGCAGACGCTTCAAAGACAAAGAATGTTGACACATCTTCAACAACGTTATTCTTCGTGTTCATGATTCTTTTTTTCTCGCAAATTGACAAAAACAAAATGTGTGTATATATACAAGCAGAATTAAGAAAAAAAAAAAAAAGCGAAGAGATAACGTTGCTAAATCAGATTTCTAGGGGACTTTGATAATTGATAAAGTTATCATATTTAAACAAAAAGAGACAAGAGTCTAGTCTAATGCTTTTAGCGGTGAGTTTCGACTTTGTATCATCAGATTTGGTGTAATTACTAATCCAATATGAAGGACCACCTACGTGCTTGTTTTATAATTAAAATTGTATAATGTTTTTTCAATGATATAGTACAAATGTAAAATTAAAATAATAAATCAAGCATAGTAGCAATGTTTGGAATTAGCCAAATTAACCTAGTTCCTACTGAACCGGGGAAAAAAAACTGATCTAAAAATGAAAGCAAGTTGTTTGAAGAGCTACTGTTTGTATATATACCAAACATATCATAATTTTATGATCAAATATGTATGTGTAACAAACAATTAAAAGAAACCTCAGGCAAGTGTCAGAGATAATATGGGTGTTAGCTTGTTTCATGCTATAGCAAGTAAGTGGACCCATAAAACTCTACAATAATGGCGAATGTTGTTTCTCGCTTGCTGATCGTCGTCACTCGTCACCATTCCTAAGCATGCAATGGTAATATGGTTTATACTATCATTTCATATATATAATTCATGTATCTATTAGTCGGGGCCTGATTAGTGATCCAAGAAACTGTGTTTTTCTCTTCATGTAACAGACGTGGTCAATCCACGTGTTAGTGTTAGAGCACGTTTAACGGTAAGCGCTTAATGCAGCGCTTAGCTCAAAATTAAATGGAAACTAAATTAAAACCGAGAATCCGACGCTTATTTAAGCGTAACAAGCGTCGCAGCTTAGTGCCACGTGGCATGTCACGATTCGTTGGGTGAAAATGAGAAGAATCTCGCTCGCGTTCAAGCTTTGATCCTGATCATGGCGTCCTCTCTCACTTCCAATTCCATTCTCCGATCCACCAAACTCGATTCTTCTTCTTCGTCTCTTCCGTCGGAGCTCCATCTTCTCTCTTCTCCCCTTGTTCAGATTTCAATCTGAACCAATCCAGAAAGATTTTCCGTGAGTTTTTCTCCTTTTTTATTCAGTTTTTGTTGGATTTCAAATTGAGAAATGAGCTGTGTGGTGGAGATACCGATTCTTTGTACAAATTACCCATTAGTTGTTAATTTTTATGATTAATCAAACCAATTTACCATCGGAGAAAATGTATGAGTCGATAATTTGGGTGGAGATTGCGATTACATTATGGCTGATCATCAATTAAGGTGCTCTCGAAGACCTAGTCGATTTACCTTACTTCATCCATTTACTTCTGCATAGAAAAGTATTTAGTTCGCTCAGTTGTCACTTACAACACCTTATTAAACTGAAATACGAAACTACATAAGGAACTAGATGGTCAAGAAGTTGAGGGGTGATTGTATATGGCCTTTTTTTTTCTCTTTTACTTTGGGAAGTCTCTGACACAAAGCGTTCTTACATTTTGTGACATGCGTTATAAGGAGTTTCTAGCCAAGTGCAATCAGCTGGGCAGAGGAGAAGCTCTATCTTGTGAGTTGTGAGAGACTTGAAAAAGCTTTGGAGAAGATTAAAGGTTTGTCTTTCTGTTCTTGCATTCGATCTTATCTTGCTTCTTTGTGTAAGTATAATCATCTCATCTTGATCTCTCTAATGGGTTCTGGAATCATGATATGTTGATCATTTCTTGCTTCCACAACTTGTGTCGTAGTGATACAGCTCGAGAATCTGGTAGATATAGTTTTTGGATTAAAGTCGTGTATCATGGTGGATATGTAGTTGATTCTTCTTCTCCATTTTCGTTAATTTCAGGAGAGTGTGACAGAGCTATCAACTCTGTATTCTCTATCCTCATCTCTTGTATGCGAGAAGCAATAAACAGCTTGTGGATGCCTATGGCCGATGCTTAGTTACAGGAGGTAGTCTGTACGATGTGAAGAATCGATCATGTAACTTTTTCCTCAGGTCATCATCCATGGTTGATTGGTTGGCTCGCATGAGCTAAAGATACCATCTGATATGATCATATACAAGCTTGTAAAAGTGTACATAATGTCAACTTCATTGAGAACTTTCGCTTTAAAGGTGAGTTGGATTCTGCAGAAGCTGTGACATATAGTAATCCGATTGTTGAGCTTCATGGTTGCAGGCTCTTGCCAAGACATTAATTGTACCGCATTGCAGGACCAGTTTACATTTTTGGGACCAAGCAAGAATGGATGTATAAACATTTTTCTGTGATTCTTGATGCTTTTTTTGTCTTAAGCACCCCTATAAGATCTTCCCATTGGAGCAAAAAAAACAGAGAACTCTTAACAGAGTGCTTAACACAATTTTAATGATAAAATATATTTTAAGCACCCCCATTAGCACCTTGCATTACACATGCTCTTACATGCTATTATGCGAATTACACATGAATCATGAGAAGACAAACAAATTCGTAAAATGTTATCGCAATACTAAGTAAGTGATCTTGCAAGTATTTTGATTGATATCTATATATATATATATATATATTGCGGCCCCTAAGATATAATGATAGATTTCGACGTTGTCTACATCTAATCTTACCGATAAATGTTTCATATTTACTACTGTATCAAATAAAACTTCAATTTTTGTATGCTTAGACTCTGAATAGTATTTTCGTAATAAAGTTTTACAAGAGGCTGTGACCATGCATTGCAACCCATCAGTATTAATAGTCCAATGAGAGGAGAGTCCTGACCAGGCGAGGGTCTCGCCTGGTCTAAATAGTAACCGATAAATATTGCTGAATGCGGAATCTGGTTGAATTAAATGAAGATTTTTTGCGGAATCTAGCTGATTAATTAGTAATATGAATGTATACTACTCCTGTGCGGAATGTTGTTGAATGCAGAATGTTGCTGAATACGAAATAAATATCTAAAACATTATTTGTATAACAACATATTTACGAAGTTCAATTAAAAAATAAAGAAAACTTATCAAATATCTAAATAATAGATTAAGAAATAAATTATTTAAAATTTGTAAAATTTAGGAATTTGGATTCATAAAATTTATTAAACATCAAAGTTAAAAAATAGACATTTAAAAATACAATATTTCTGATAGTACCAATTTATTAATGAAAATAATCTCAATTTACTTTTTATTTTATTCCCATATTGTATGCACATAACACTATATTTTGGTTCCTCTTATTCTTGTATATTTTATATTGCTTAGTAATTTAAAAATCTATACTAAATTAACTATATTTTAAACTAAAATAAGTTTTAATTAATATTCACGCTATGCTCTTCTAAACATTTTATTTATATCCGTAAATTTATTTTTCGGATTCATAATTTTATTATTAAGATTCGGTATCACACATTCCAAAAACTCTAATATGTGAAACTGATATGATTAAGTGTTGGATAATTTGCCCATCCATATGACTTTTTTTTTAAATGATATTTCAAAATTTCTCAAGAGAATATATTAAAAATAAAGTAAGAAATTTAAAGAAGAATACATTAAAAGTATTCCATAATTCTTCAGCATTCTACAATATATGCAACTCGTGTTTTAAAGTAATCATTCCACAAAATTCCTTACAGTTCAGCAAATTCTATGTTACCAGGGCCTAGGGGTGTCAAAATGGATCCAAATCCATGGGTTGACCCAATCCATCTTATCCATTAATCCAAATGGATTAAAAATTTGGATCCAAATGGGTTAATGGTTCACATGGGTGATGGATTAATTGGATTGGATTGAAATGGTTTGGTTTATAATGGGTTGGATCAATGGTTAACCCACTTTATTAAAAAAGAAAAAAACAGTTATACATCAAATGTTTTTTCCCACATAATAAATCCAAAATTGTATTTGGTTGGATTTGAATACAATACCATAAAAGAATGATCTTACAAATTTGACAAAAAAAAACGATTTTACAATTTTGGTATAAATCGCAAAATCACAGTTTTCCGCCAAGGTTTCCCACCAAAACCGCAAAATCACGAGTTTCCCGCCAAAATCGCAAAATCACGGTTTCCCGCCAAAACCGCAAAATCACGAGTTTCCCGCCAAAACCGCAAAATCACGAGTTTCCCGCCAAAACCGCAAAATCACGAGTTTCCCGCCAAAACCGCAAAATCACGAGTTTCCCGCCAAAACCGCAAAATCACGAGTTTCCCGCCAAAATCGCAAAATCACGAGTTTCCCGCCAAAATCGCAAAATCACGAGTTTCCCGCCAAAATCGCAAAATCACGAGTTTCCCGCCAAAATCGCAAAATCACGAGTTTCCCGCCAAAACCGCAAAATCACGAGTTTCCCGCCAAAATCGCAAAATCACGAGTTTCCCGCCAAAATCGCAAAATCACGTTTCCCGCCAAAATCGCAAAATCACGGTTTCCCGCCAAAACCGCAAAATCACGTTTCCCGCCAAAACCGCAAAATCACGGTTTCCCGCCAAAACCGCAAAATCAGTTTTCCCGCCAAAACCGCAAAATCACGGTTTCCCGCCAAAACCGCAAAATCACGGTTTTCTATCAAAACCGCAAAATCAAGGTTTTCCCCATAACCGCAAAACATGGTTTTTGGGGAAAGTTGTGATTTTATGTTTTGATGGAAAAACTGATTTTTACGGTTTTGGTTGAAAAACGTGATTTTACAGTTTAGGGAGAAAGACGTGATTTTACTGTTTTGTGCATAAATCACAATTTTACGTTGCAAAAAACAGTGAGTTTATGTTTTTGACGGAAACGTGGTTCTACGGTTTTGATGAAAAATCGTGTTTTGCGATTTTACGGTTTCGGCGGAAAGATGTGATTTACGATTTTGGCGGAAAGACATGATTTTACGATTTTACAGATTTAATGGGTTATAGATTTTTGTGATGTTTATAGATTTTGTTTAGTTATCTTTATTTTAATATATATAAATTTTTAGTTATATTTGTTTGTGGATCATCCATTAACCCATTCATCCATTAACCCATTAAAACCATCTAATTAAATGGATAATGGATCAAACCAACCCATTTCCTAAATGGATTGGATTAATCCATGATCCATTAGCACTAAATCCACTTGGATAATGGGTTGGATGGGTTGGGTTATCCATTTTGACCCCCTAGAGCCGTAGTCTTCTGCATAAATCACGATCAATAAAGATCCAACTGTTGTGTGTGTATCTAACGTAAAACCTTTGTTATTAAAATGGGTTTGTGTGGAAGACTTGAATGGGAAATATTAATTAGTGGCTATCTGAAATGCATGCAAAGCTCTTCTAATTTATCTTAATTTTGTGGCCATTTATAATATTTTAACTAATTTTATTATTATTCATGATAAGAATACTTGAGTATCAGAAATCTCATACCTTTATAAATCTTTATAGGTTAATCTTATTATGATGAGTAAATTGATTCTCGTCTTTGTTTAAATAGAAATATCCAAGAGAGGTTAATGATGAAAGAGAGAGATTTAAGATTAATTTTTTTTTAAAGTTAATTTTAATTAAATAATAATTAAAATATTATCAATGACGTGATATTTTAAGTCACATTTGTAATTAACGACAAATATATGAGTATATTTTAGTGGTGATTTTAAATTTTACATGTTTGACTTGCATGTTTTTTTAATTGATGATTATATTTGAAAAAAAAAATTAGATGACAGGTGTTGTGCATAAATTTATTTCGAATTTTCACAAATCTAGATCTTATATTGTAGGGATTTTTTGACTTCACAGTTTTTTTTCACAATTTTAATTTAAATTTTTGATTTGCCAATAAAATTAGTTTGAGAATTATTTTGCATAAAACCCTTTTTAAAATATTAAAGGACCAACTCTCCCAATATTATATTATACCACAACAACATATCTACATAAAATAAAAACAAAAACACCGCTAATTTAATATTTTCTTTTGACGGTTCAGATCAATGACTAGGATCCAACGGTGAAGTCCTTCAAGAATATTAAGTTTCTTTGGCAGCCGATCCTATAAAAAAACCCAACCTTCTAACCTAGCCTCTCTCTCTTTAACCAAACAGATCTGAACCTTAATTTTTGTTCATTCTCACAATGTCCTTTGTAGATTTCTCCAGTGTAGATTTTTCCGATCCCTTCGACACAGATTTCTCCGGTAAGATGTGCCTATTCACTTGCTCGAAATTAATTGCTTAGTAGTATTAGATTTCATGTTTGTCATGCTAAAACAAGCCTATCGAATAAAACTTTTTTCTCTTCATCGGTTTCCTAATCATTGTTTGTTTTGTTTATGCCTTGTCCGTTTTGGCAGCTGGTAAAATAGGCGTGTTCTGGGACGTGAATGATTTCCCAGTCCCCGAGGGTCGCGGGATTCATGAGATTGTCGAATCTGTTCTTAGGGGAAATGAGTATTCCGGTGACATATCGATCACGGTTTATGGAGAGAAGAATCCTCTCTCGGCTGAAGAAGCCGCCAAGGGTGACATCACATTCGTACAGAAAAGTAAGATTGATATCCTCTCTACTTTAATTAAAACCCTAATCTTATAGATGAATCGTTGCTTGATTTAAGTTAATATTTTCGCCTGTGTCTATATGATGTCGTCTCCTTTCTTTAATTGATTGATTGGTGTCCTCTCCTTTCTTTAATCGTCGTTGATCCACAATCTCTCTACTTTAAATTGATTTCCCTAATTTTATATATCAATATTTTCAGGTGATAAATATTGGAGAGTTAACGATATGCTATTGGATATTGCTATGTGGGCGGTGAACAGCCCCTTTCCTCCTGATAGCAACCCGGCAAATGTGATGATCCTTGCAAGAAACAAGGAGAAAACCGATTTCGTCAGTTTCCTTAAAAATTTGAACAATGCAAATTTTAATGTCTTAGTAGTAGTGCCGGATGATGTTAAACCAGAAGAGCTGAATGTTCCAGCTGTTAACGTGGCATGGTATTGGAAGAGCATACAAGAAGATGGAAAGCCTATACCCCAAGAGGATTTTCAAGACCTTTTAGATAAACAACGAGTTCATTTACTCAGTCTTTATGAAGACGATGAAGACGATGTTGCTGTTGCTCAAGGCGTTTGTGATGAGTGTGCCCTACCGACTAGCTGATCGACGTGATTTTCTCTATGCAATTTCGCAGTATCATTTTGTACTAAACTCTGTTTTTCCGCTCAAAAATTGCTTTGCTTTGTTCTTGAACATTATTTTAATATAAAATCAACCGTATTGCATAATTAGTTTCGCTGTATGATTAGTCAGTACTCTGAATAAGCAATCTGATGACATCTCAAATTCTCAGTGAGGGTATCAAGCAGGTTCTCCACCTTTTCCATCCACCATAAAGCCGTGCTTTCTCAATGGTAGGAACAATCCCAGCCATACGCTTATGGCTATCTGTAAAACTTAAGTGCACCAAGAACATTAATTAGACGCTATAGTGATACCAGCCATCGAACTTGTAACTCTCTCCTCTCATAGAAAATCAACCTCGAACAGGGGTGAATGAATACTGCTGTCTGCGTAAATTTATGATGATGAGATCTCGATTCCAAGATGGTTTCCCATTTATTTGATTTTCCATACTAAAAATGATCATTAGCAAAGATATCACAAAAGTCAAAGCTGACATAGCCACACTCGTATTTAAAGAGAGTTTCTGCAGCAAGAACCATTCTGGTTCTCTAGTTTGGTAAGACTTAACACTGACAATACCACTTGAAGAGATCTTTGAATGTTGCAGAGCTTCTGCTTCTTGTCTCCAATTACATATTGCTGAAGCTCAGAATCGATCCATCCTTTAATCTTCTCCTTCCTCTTACGTATGTTCTTTTTAAAGACACAAGAAACAAGTTTTTCCACATTATAACCGAAGCCCAATCATATGTAATACAGTACCTTTAGACTGTCACGGAGAAGGTTGGAGAATTACCTCAACTTGCTTAGCTCCTTCCCTGAGATCATCATCAACCGATACACTGTGAGGTCGACAACTCTCAGAGATCAAAACAGATGACACTATAAAAATATCTCGAGAGGTGATCAGGCTTTAAATCAAACGTTGCACACAAAAGCAATGGCATCAAAGATCCAAACTTCATCACTGGTTTTAAAAATGTATATGCTTACGATCATAGTTACCTCTTTCAAGATAGGCAAGGATGGTTCAATCTCCTCTGAAGCAATTCCGTTCAGATATTTGTATAGCTCTTGTGTGACTTTCAAGAGAAGAGAGTGAATATGTCCCCTCTCCAACTGTCGAACAACATTCAAATGTGTTTGCAAGTTTCCTAAAACATAATGAAGCAGCGGCAGATAGCAATCATCGAAATTAGAGTAAAACACGTTACCTCGATGCTAGAGAACTCCAACTCCTGCAATCCCAAGGATAGTAGTATAGATGCCTGAACATATGCCAGTGTTTTGAAGATGTCATAAACCTTCCAGAGATAAGACAATGAAACTTAGTTCCAAACTGAAAGCAGTTGGTAACTTGGTATTGATCATCTCAAGCAGTTGTTTTACTTCTGCGCCATTTCAATTTCTAATTTGTTTCGAATATAGAGTGGTTCCATGAGATTATTCCAAAACAATTTAGATTAAGTACATTTACAAATTTTAAAACCATTTTCAGAGAAGAAATCCAACCAGATTGAAGTCGATCAGATTGTTGGTATATGCTTTGAGACTCTCCATATCGAATGGAGAAAATATACCGTCGAGTGTCTTAAAAAATCCGTCTGACGAATTTCCTTGGAAGTTGATCTTGGGGTTTAAGACACTGGACAAAGAATGATATGACAAATAAATATATGCATTAAATATATCCTTACTGTGAAATAGTGACAAGAAATTGTTAGTGCTTACCTCATTGCAAGTGTATAGTCCATCTTCTTGAATTTGTCACTCAGCAGCTTAGAGAACCTCATCCTGAAGTCTGAACAAAGCAAATTAAGCTATCGAACATTAGACAAAATAATGCTACCGTCGGCAGATGGAGAAAGTTCAGTTCTTGATCAAAGAATCAACAAACCTGTATAGAAGGGAGCAAAGAATCCCAACTCATCGGACCCGCTGACTTCTAGTTACTCATTTTTTAAAGGTTTTAGAAGCATACACGTGTGCTCACCAGTCACAGCACTCTGGTCCAAGCACATGTAATATTCAATGTTACGAAACAATTACTAGAAATGGGACGCGTAAGCAATTAAGGAGAAAGCCGGAAAATATTCTCAACTGGGACTTGGCTAACGTAGAATGGAGCAAAATTGTGTTTTCTCCAAAACCGGAAGAGGTCCAAAGTAAGCCCAAAGGAGACACCAATGTAATGAAGCCTCTCAGGTCCGTCGATCATGGAGTGGAACCAACAGAGGAGGAAGATTTGTACGAGACTTTACTTGCTCCTCCAGCATGGAGACCTTCTCAGCAGCCTCCGTAACTCTAATGGGTGAATGCTCCACATCAACTTTATCATCTGCTTCTGAGATTGGAGCAATCTGACCCTCAAAATATCTGCACATGTCGATCAGTATAGTAAGGAAGAGGAGCACTAATTTATAATCAGTATGACCACGCCTAGTGAAGAGTACAAAGTACAAATTGTCGAGCACAAAACATTAACATTGATATAAGTTATGTATGGGATACATATGATAACAAAACTTATGTATGCACATTTTTATGAATTTACCTAGTTAAGAGTTCAACTGCAGCAGAACCATATCCCATCTACAAAAAGGCAATCGGAAACTTGTTGGCTGCACACAAAAACCTAACTGGACAGGTTGAAAATACGAGCAGAAAAAAAAGGATTACCTTCATGGCATTAGGGTGGACTGCTATGCGTACTATCCGAGCACCAGAAAGGTTTGGAAATTCAATGTCCCGAAACTGTTCACAGAATTTCCATGGAATTTGGTCTCCATATGGTGAATGGCCATCCCTTAAACTTTGGAGGTGAGTTTTTTTTATATCTGTCCTTCGAGACAGACCTGAATATCACAATTACAATTATGCTTAAGATCACACACATCAAAAAACGACACAAGAAAAATTGGGCTAGAAACTATGGATTTCCACATTCTGTGGAAAAAAGCAACCGAGTTAAAACAGATTGATAGCTGATAAAACAGTTTAATCGTTCTAAGTCCATTTTCATGAAGACTGATGAGACTGGTAAGTCGCTGTTCTAGGTCAATGTGAATGTATACCTGGACAACACAAAGTATATCAGGAAGCTTGTTTTGGGACTCATCAACAGGACCTGTGTTTAAAAGCAGTTAGGCATAGTTCTGAAAATAAAACTAGGTGGGGGAAAAGGAACACTAGCGTACCAAGTAACACAAACAAATGATGAGCAGGAGCATCAGCCAGCAGTTGAAGATCATTAGGAGAATTCTTGTAGTGAGAAGAGACACATAGCGCCATCATTCTCTGTAGCATGCACTTGTATTAGTATAACGTCAATATGCAGGTAAGAAAAGAAGGAAAGAATCCCAGAGAACCACATTTACCTGTAGAAACATCTCACTATCTTTGTGATAAGAAAAGAGCGTGTCTCGGTTGACATAATAGAGTTCACACTGACTTGGCAGAGGATGGCTACACAACGACGAAAGATGAAATATAAATCCATTTTTAGACGATCAGTACCGCAAAAAAAGGTTAGTAGACACTATAAATTAAAATATCCATACCTCGCAGGATTAGGCAGAATTAGCAGCAACGTCAAGGCAAAGTAAGTCATTAAGCCAGGATTCTGTTGGATCTCCAGAGCCGTATCTAATAGACTCATTAAGTTCTATCTTCTTGGAAAGGAAACCTGTCGAAAGAAACTTGGGGGAGTCAGGGGATTCTCCAAAATATTTGCAGGCCATGGGAATAGAGTGAACTTTACTACAAATGAAGAACTCATCAGATACACAAGTAAAGCGGGCTACTTTGAATTAGAAACATGACAGAAGTTGCGAGGCTCACCTTTGAATCCTCCAATTCCTCTGGTCCAATCCAGGCAAACCAATTGATATGGAGCAGATATATAAAGGGTTCGAATAAATATGTTATGATGGACACAATTCATATCTTCATCCCAGTTTTAAGAGTGCTTTAAACAATTCATTTTTGCCAAAAACATCTGTACCACCAAACATGACACAAGTCAGGCTGAAGGTTTGCAGTTACACTGGCAAGGAAAGTATGCATCAGAGAGAATGGCAACAAGGAAGCTAGTTCCATTGGTATACCCAACCACACTGGTCTTGAAATGATGTAAACTATTGCAGAGATCAAACCGGCAAGAAACTCATGGACCGAAGCAAGTCCCCTGGTGTCAAGAACGAAACTGCGTCAGAAAGCAATATAGATGGAAAGCTAGAGATGACACACCATAAGGTTAAATGCGTATATTGTTGTAGATTTTCATGACACGGATTGGATTGGAACTCACGTAAGCAACAACCACTTATGTAAGAGGGCTCTAGTGTTGACAAACATTGAAGGTGGAAGCGCTAAGCAGATCACGATGCTGCTGCGGCTGCCGCTGCTTTATTTAACTCTATTCAGCAGCAGCAGCAGATTCCTCCTCCGGGGGCTCCAAATGTTGGACTCTATGAGCAACCTTGGAATCAGACTCAGAATCAGTATCAACAGCAAAGCTTTGTGGAGATGATGAATGAGCAAATGGGGTTTCAGTTCATGGGTCATAACCACCACCACCACCACCACCAACCGCAGCAGCAGCAGATCCCCGGTGATTCCTCCATCGCTCCGGCAGCCGCCAGCTCAAGCAGTGCGAAACCCCGTTACCGGGCCAAACCCCACCACCAACCCCATTTGGTTCCCATAGGATTTTCGAGAGTTGATGTTCGCAAAGTGTTTCTTTCTGTTGTTTTTATGAACTTGCATGCATTGCAATTTCTTTTCTTTATTTATACAATTCTATTTCATTGTCAGTGTGATTATTGTTTTTTCTTAAAATGCTATGGATTTGTGATACTCTCACTTTTATTGTAGTACGAGGTAGTTGGTCAGCACCTTGCGGGCATGAGTTGTTTTTGAAAATAAAAATATCTATAAGCAAAAACTAATATTTTTCATAATTTAAACTTTACAATAATTTTTCTAAAAAACTGAAATAACAAAAACTATTAAAATAATTTAAATATTCAAATCATACCAAATGTTTATAAAACTTCATTATATTAATTGACTTAATTTACTTTCAGATAAGCATATCTAGCACTAAGTTTGCTTGATGAAGAAGATGGTCTAATGAGATTTTTTTTAATGATTATTTTCCTTTATTTTTTGTTATATTATTCTCAATTTTATTTATCGTATTTGATATGTTTTATTTATATTATTGGATAAAATATCATAATTTAATACGCAAGATATGATTTGAAAAAAAGATTCAAAAATTAAGTTGTTTTGCTATTTCTCTTTTTATTAGAATTTTCAAGAACTAAGGATTTAAAAAACGCACAAAAAACTAAACCCTACTCCCACCAATATAAACCCTACATTCTAAACCCTAACCCTACAATAAACACCACCCTCTCCCCCATCAGTACAGTACACCATAACCACATAATAGACACATTTTTTTATTTGAATTAAATATTTTTGCTTAATTTGGTGTAATTTTTGTTGTTACACAAAATTTCATATGATATTTTAAGAATTCGAAATGTTATTATTTAATCGATATGATTTGAACAAAAGATTAAACAATTTAGTTGTTTTCCTATTTCGCTTTTCATTAGAATTTTCAAGAACTACAGATTTAGAAAGTGCACAAAAAACTAAACCCTACACCACCAATATAAACCCTACCTTCTAAACTCTAACCCTACAATAACCCCACAAAAAATGGAGCCTTGTGCACCTTGTGGTCCCGCACTTTGTGCGAGTACAAAGATTTTAATAATATAAGTAGTAGAATTTATGATTGTATTCATCGTTTCTGTTTTCGCCGACTTTTATTTTTCTAATCTTAATGTGTTTTACTTTTGTCTTTTTTTCTCTCATTCTTCTGCATAATCTTCTTCATTTGCTTAAAGAGATACAAAAGATTTTTCACTTCTTGCTTTCTTCTCCCTATTATTCTTCTCCAATTATTCAATTTTCTTATTTTTCTTTCAATTTTGTATTCGTTCTCATTATGTTTTTCTTCTTCTTTTTTTCCAATTGTTGTTTTTCAATATTTTCTTGTGATGTCTTTATATTCTCTAACTCACACTATTTTTATTGTTATTTTCTAATTTTCTTTACATTCTTTTTCCGGTTTTTCTTCTTCCTCATTCCCTTTCTCTCTACCACATCATATTATTCTAGTTTTTATTGATTTCTTCTTTGTCTTTTTTTTTTCTCTTCACATTCCATCTTTTCTTCTTTGATTTTTATTTCCTCATGTTCGATTTTCTTTTTTCTTCTCCAAATTTCCCATCTTTTTTTTCACCCACTTCTTTTCTTTTACTCAGTGTTATTATTCGTTCTTTTATACGTCTTGTATTTCACCTATCACTTCATTTTGATAGTTTAGATTTTCAAAAACTAAGAATGCACCAAAAACTAAACCCTACATCATCATATATAACCCTAAATTCTAAACCCAAATCCCACAGTAACACCACCACCACACCCCACACACCCCCTCCCCCCGGAACAATTATACACCCTAAACCCAAACCCCACAATATAACCTCCCCCACCCCCAAACTGCACACTCAAACTCCACATTTTACAAACTAGATAGTCCCTTATCTTACTGGCCAGTAGTAAAAAGGGATCTTGAATCAAAGAGTTCCTGTCCAACAAGCTACGTTGAAAGAATCTCAGTTTCCGTATCCGATGATGCTAGTTCTGGATTGGATTTTATATTTATTTTTTTCTTAAAAGAATTTTTTTGTTTTGTTTTCGATCAGTAAGGTAGTGTATTCAAAAAAATTTAATGAATCTAAAACTAAACTTTACACCCATCAATATAAACCGTACATCATAAACCCCAATCCCATTTTATCTTCTTCTTCTTTTACTTCTTTCATATTTTTTTTTTCATTCATTTTCTACCGTTTGTCTTTTTTCTTATTCTTATCAAAGTTTCTAATCCTTTTTCTTTTCCTCTCTCTCTCTTCATCATCATCTTTTTATTTCCTGATTTATTCTCATATTATAAATCTTTCATAAACCATACACTCTAACCCCTACCAAACATTAAATATGATGATAACATTATGTGTTTTATCTTCTCTAACTTCTTAATCTTCTAATTTCCACGTGTCTAGTCTTTTTCTTCAACTCAGTTTCTTCATTCAGTTAGAGAAATAAAAAAGTATTCCCCTTTTATTAGTTTTGTTCTTCAACTTCTTCTTCTCTAGACTTTTACTCCCTCTTATTTATTCTCCAATAAACTCTTTTTCTTCTTTTTTTTATCCCTTGTCATTTTATTATTCTTTATCTCCTAATTTTGTTATATATAATATTAAACCATTACTAAAAAAATCAAACATCCATGATCGCTCCGAGCCTCAAGAGAAATAGCAAGCGTTACACCAAACCTTATTTAGCTAACGATAGATAGAGATGCCTTATAGAGTTATAGTGGATATAAAGATTATTTTCTGAAAATGCCTAAACTAATTAACATGGCAAGAAATAGTAATCGGAATGTGTGAATGGTACTCGTCTTTAGCCTATTTTAAGAGTCTCAAGAGCATTAATTGAACCTCACGAATCTGTCTCACCCTGATTGCGACACAGCAATATTTCGGAATAATGGCAGTTGTGGTTATGTTTATGATGATAGAGTGTGTGGAGACGGTGAACATGAAAGTGAAACTTGAACACTCTCTGCATCTACTTTTAAAATATTATTTATACCTCTTGGAGTTTTTTTAAGAGCTTGTAGTTGTTAATCACGGAGAAACCATGATCGAGATTCACAGCTGAACAAACAGAGAAGTGCTTAACGTTTTCGTGAGGCTCTCACAAAAACAGAAACAATCGTAACAATCATTGAAGAGAGTCAAAAACATAAACAATTATAATAAATTCTCTTCCGTAAGACTTCTACAACAATATATAGCTCAGCAAGAGTCCATACACCCTTTACAAAGAATTGCGAATGATTCATGGATGGACTCTTGCTAAGAAGAACCCCTTCATAATACTAATAATGGATCCTTTAGTTTCAATCAATCCAACATCAATATATGAAACGATAAATTGGAGGGCTAACTATCTAGTTTCCAATTTTTGCTTTTCTTTTCCTAACACGCTCAGCTTCTTCTGCTTTCAAGGTCGCTTTCTGTAACTTCTCTTGTCAATGAATAATTGGTCAATAGAACACAAAATTAAGACCATATAAAAGACACTCGCTTCTTTTCCTGTCTTACATTTGTTTTTTCGTCCTTTGCCATCTGCTTTTTTGGCCACGCTTCAACATAAATAGATGTACTTTTATAACGGACAATAAAAGATTCAACATTCTTTAAGCTTATTTATAACTTTTCCCTGCTACAGCCTGCAAGAATACGTAACAGTGTCAAGCAAAGCTATATACTAAAGAACACCGTTCGATTATATAACTTAAAAGGTGAAATTACTCAAAAATTATCTAAAATCCAACAACTTTGGTTTTGGTAACGTAACGAGAATAATACAGAGAACATGGAGTTATTTGAAAACTTACAACCATGTCGCCTTTTTCACCCATTACAACAGCACAACGCACAACCACATATCTATTTATCGTAAAGGAAGAGCATATGACCATATGCCAGAGGCATATATTAATCGTGTTGGAGTCGACAAGTGAGAGAGAGAGAGAGATTATTTGGTGTTTAGTGTTGGAATCTTGGAGGCTTGACATTAGGTCTAAACACTAAAGAATAATCGCTTAATCTTTCCGATTATTTCCACTAGATACGAGATAGTTGGCCTGTGTCTTGCGCGGGCATGAGTTGTTTTTGAAAATAAAAATATCCATAAACAAAAACTAATATTTTTCATAATTTAAGCGTTACAATAATTTTTCTAAAAAACTGAAATAACAGAAACTTTTCAATGGTTATTAAAATATTTTAAATATTCAAATCATACCAAATGTTTATAAAACTTCATAATATTAATTGACTTAAATTACTTTTAGATAAGCATATTTAGTACTAAGTTTGCTTGATGAAGAAGATGGTCTAATGAGGTTTTTTTAATGATTATTTTCCTTTATTTTTTGTTATATTATTCTCAATTTTATTTATCGTATTTGATATGTTTTATTTATATTATTGGATAAAATATCATAATTTTAAATTTTATAATTAAATACGCAAGGTTTTATTTAATCGATATGATTTGAACAAAAAATTAAAAAATTAAGTTGTTTTGCTATTTCTCTTTTCATTATAATTTTCAAGAACTAAGGATTTAAAAAAACGCACCAAAAAATAAACCCTACTCCCACCAATATAAACCCTACATTCTAAACCCTAAGGGCATCTCCAATGTATTGCCCCATATTTTGCTCCAAAATGAAGAAATCTCAAAATGGGTTGGGTTTTGCTCCAATGTATTGCTTCATTTTTTGCTTCAAAAAGAATATTCCTAGAATATTCTTTTGAAAAACTTTTTATTAATTACTAAATTTACATTGTATATTTATATCTATTACAAATTGCCCCATATATTTTTTTTCTTCAAAACTTTCACAATTAATTATAATTATTTAAATTAATTATGAAAATATTAATAATACATTATTACAAGACTAAAAATAACAACATAAATACTACTTCTTCTAAAGGAACTCTCACAAACTACTTCTTTTGGAAATATTTTAGTGATATTGGTGGATCCGGAAACTAAATTAAATTAAAAATCAGTAATAAGTTGTTTTAATAAATTTCTTTTTGATGTTATTTCTAATAAAAGTGTTCTTTTTTTTAAAATTTATTATTAGCTTAAATAATTAAATTTCTTATTAAATATGTGTTATTTGTATTTTAGAGTAAAAATAAAGATCAAAATAATTAATTATATATCTTAAACTGAATTAATTT